AATGATGCATCTTCTAATATAATTAATAAATGTTTTTCTTGTGGTTGTTTATAATATTGCATTAATGCTGGCATAAATTTTTCATAATTCATTCCATAAATTGGTGTTTTAATTAAATCTTTTAATTCTTTAAATGTTTCATCTTCTCCTGCATTTTGTGATACATAGATAATCGCTTCATATTGGTGTTCTATTTTGTTGAGTTTCGCTAATTCTTTCATAATAAATGTTGTTTTCCCTGCTCCTTGTTTCCCTATAATAATATTAAAACTATTATAATAAAAGAATATTTGTCGATGAACTCTTTTAATTTGATTCTCTCCTTTAATATTACTTAATCTTTCTTTAATTTCTTTATCTATTTCTTCTTCTCCAATATCATCATCATCATCTTCTTCTTCTCTATAATCATTTATATCATCATATTCAAAATTATCAAATTCCATAAACTAAAATTATAAAGATTGAATTATTTAATAGTTTGTTTGAAAAACTTCTAGTCTTTGTTCTAATAGTCCATTTCTTATTTCTTCATTTGTTTTCATTTCTTGAATATATAAATTTCTTATTTTCTCTAATTCTTTTCTTAATCGTTTATTCTCTGAAATAATATCTTCCATAATATCATTTGGATTATCAATCACTTGTCTTTTAATATATTGATTCATTTTATCTTTTTGATTTCTTGTTTTCTTAGGTGCTGCTTGTTCTATTAGTGGATTACTTGGTCTTACCATTGCTGGTGGCATTTCATTAATATCAATTACTGACTTTCAACAGTGTTTTGTGGTGTATTGTTCATATTCTTATTATTTGTTTTTTCTTGATTTTCTTGTTGTTTAAACATCATGTTGAAATATTATTCGTGTCATTCTATATTCGATTTTCTTCTTTCATGAGTTTTATCAACTAGGGTCCTTTCATTATTATCATAAATACATCATTTCAAACTCATTATTTCATTTGATCAAATGACAACATTAAAAGATATTCTCATTACACTTGCTGGTTATGAAATAGATCAACCAACATTAGAAGAAGCAATTAAACTTCAACAACAAATTGCAAGTTTATTACAATCAATTCATGAAGAACATCAGAAAAAATTAATGAAACAAGCATATTGGAAATGCGTATGGTTAATAAATACTTTAGCACCTTGGGTTAATAAAAATAATTGATTATTTTATATAAAACCTTTCATTTTATTATTAAATATTTATAAAAAGTATTTCAATTATTTTATCTTTCTTTCATTCTTCTTCTAAACAAAAATAAAAATAAAATAAAAATTAAATTAAATTAATTCAGTTAAATGAAATATAATAATTCTGTTTTTCTTCCAGCTGGTTTTGTCTCTTCTTTGATTTTCTTTTCCAGCTCTTTCTCTTTGTCATCTTCTTTCTTTATCTTACTAATTATTAGTCTATTTCTTTTCTCTAAGCTTTTTATTTCCTTTTTAATTATTTCCAATGTTTCTAGATGTTTACTTAATGTCTTGTTAAGTGTAGTCAAAGGTATTTCTCCAAGGGTTACACTAACTCCTTTGACTAATATATCAGCACTTTCAGATACATCAATGATATCATTAATTAATATATTTAAATCTTTAATGGTTATACCATTCTCTTCTAATGTAATTTCTTCTTCTTTATTAATAAATCTATCTGGATAGTTACTAACTTTTGTACCGTACATAACTAATGATTGTTCATATCTTAATGGTAGGGTTATTAAATATTAGTATAGTTTATTATTAAACTATTAATTTTACTATAATGTAGATCTAATTTTGAGATATGAGACCAATAATTATGAGATATGAGGTAATAAAAAATAAATGATATTTAAAACAATAATTATAATAATCTAAAAATAGAACATATTCTATAAATAAAATCTCAAATAAATGTTATATAAAACAACTTAATAAAATTTACTTTTAATGCTTAATATGATGATATCACACTATCGTCAAATTGTACCATAAAAAAATTATTATAAAAAGAAAAAAATTAAAATTAATTTCTAATTTAAGAAAATTGAAAAAATTAAAATAAAATAAAAAATTAATTTTATTAAATTAAAATTAATAAAAAGTATTTAATTAAGTGTTAATAGAACTTGTGTCTATTGTTCCTGCCTCACCGGAGACTAATCCCATCACTGAGTCTTCGTCACGTAGTTCCACAACATATGTTTGGTTGTGATAGATTCAGTGTTCCATGGCATCCATCGTGTTTTTAATTACATGGTTTTTAATTTCTTTTATGATGTCAATTTCGATTTTTATTTCTTTAATTATTCTAATACTTTCAAAATTTACTAGTTAATTTATTGAAATTAATACTGTATTTATTTTGACATCTTTTAATTTCTCTATTTTCATTAGCCTATTTTTAATTCCTTATACATATTTCTTTTCTTCAAATACCCTCCATTAATATTAT